CAAACGCCTATGGGTTATTCTCTAGACAAGTGGATCCAGATAATAAGTAATTTTACTCAACTAGTATGAAGTTATTAATCAATGGTTATAGTCTCCCTTTGTTATTATTTAGAACTGAAACTAATCAACCTCCAATGACATATATACATCATGAGGGGATTGATTTAGTGTTGACATTTACTTACAAGGTTTTCACTGAAGTTCAGTTCAAGGGAACGAACATTCTGAATTCCATTGCTTGACACATTCCAACTTTGAGTAAAAACAATGGGGAATCCTAAACTCTAACAAATAACACCATGAAAGCTAAGTTTTGCATTGTCCTTTTTAAAACAGTTATATATAAGCGAAATTGTATTCATTCATTTTATTTTGTTGATATATATAGTAGTTGGCCCTGTTTTCATATTTTTACAAAAAAAGTTCTTAGATGTTGCACTACAAAATGTCAGCTGAAAATTAATTGAAAACAAGGGAGCATTACACATTCTTTATTATAATTTACTTTTCATCATTATCCACCGACAGTTTTATGCATAGATGAAAACCATTACCTTGAGATTTTATGGACAGCTTGTTGAATTGAAGATCATTAGTCTACCTCTCCCATTTAATTAGGAAATAATCTTCATAAACCTGTTATCACATTAGATGTCCACTAGACTTACTTTCTCAGCATGATGAAGATTTAAATTTAAAAAAATATATAAATAGTTTACAGACGTACTTTTTTATTTTCTTGAAAATGATCTAACAAGATCATTCATATTTCGTCCGTAATATTCCACTGGAATTGATTATTATTATTATTAGAAACTTTTTCTCTTAAAGTGATTTTGATAACTTACTTTTTCTTTTATTATAATTAGAATAGATGAATTCACTTAGTATTGTTTGTTTGAATCTTCCCATTGATGCTTAGGTCTGCAACTGGTCAGTCTATTATTGACCATATGTGCATATTGTGCGTATTGCCTCGATATTGCCTTGATTCACAAGCATTATAAGCAAAGATCGATAGTGGCTAGTAGTAGAATTCGGAACACGCGTTTTGTCCTGTTTGGGACTTGTCAGCTGCATTTACCTGCATCTCAGTGTTGATGTTCAATCTGGGACTCGAACCCAATACCTTATCCATTCAGCTACTGAGTCCTGATAGCCATTTGCATATGCAGTGTGGTGAAGCCTGAATTCACTTAGTATTGTTTGTTTGACGAGTCCCAAATAGGACGAAACGCGCGTCCTTGATTCCACTGCTAGCCACTATCCATCTTTGCTTAGAAAAGATTAATGTTTTTAATTTTCAAGAAAAGTTGGAATTTTTGCAACGTAATGGTGATAGAAGTTTAGTATGATCGTTTTTTCAGACAATATAATATCATTAATCCATTTTGTATTGGTTGTTTGAATCTTGCTATTGATGCTTAGGACTGTGATGTATATGAGTCTTGTGTTGATTGTCTCGATATTGCCTTGAATTACAAGCAGTGGAATCCAGGATGTGCATTCGTCTTATTTGGGGTTCATCAGCTGGATATACTTGGATCTCGGAGTAGATGTTCACTCTGGGTTAGGATAAAGCGAACATCATCTCTGGGATTCAAGTACATTCTCTAGACCACTGAGCCGACATCCAATAGTGTCAATATATAACTTCAATCCATCCATGAATGGTTGTGGAAACATTCATCCATTTTCCGAGGTAGATACCAGTCTCTACCTGATACGTATTGAACTATTGAACTCCACTAGTCCCATATGCGGGATTGTGGATGCGCACTGCTGAAGAGTCTCATACTAGAACGAAATGGCCATCCAGTGCTTCCAGGTCTTCAGTGGTGGTTTAACAGTGATCGTTTGAAATCCAACTGAACATCTATTTATCAATCAAGTATAAATTAACTTTTTATCACTCAAAGAAACCTGTGTTTTTATCACATTAAATCCAATGTAGTTTCTTTTATTGTAAGTACTTTTCTAGAATTCGTTTCTTTGAAACTCTCATTTAAGAAAATCATTAAACAGTCTATTACATTTACATTAAGAAAGATATATAGTGATAAACGATTTTGAAAAAGAAAAGAGGGTGATTGGTGTTGAAGTGTCTAGATTGTTATCATATATATATGTCTTCAATGGACTACACAAACTATCTACTTATTCTTACTTTTAAATATTCCCCTTGGGGGTTAAACAGTTCAAACTAAGGAGAAATGAAACAAGAGAAATTTCATCTGTACTGATGGATAAAGTAAAACAAAATCTTCATCTTTCTTTTTCTTTTCATCAAATAACATAAAACAGTAAGATTTCAAAGGCAAAAAATTTTTTTCTCTTTTCATTTATTCTTTTTTATAAGTAGGGAAAATAAATTATGAAAGTATACTTTTCTTTTTTTTCGAATAGGTTGGATAAATGTGATTTTTTAATGAGCAACAGTGGAATATGAAAACTAAAAACTCCCGCCCCCCCCCCAAAGAAAAGCAACCAACTGACCGATAAACAGATAAATAATCAAAGTTGAATTTGAAATTTAATACAAATCTGTGAAATTTAATTAAGTTGAAAATGATTGCATTTCATTACTTGTTGTTCACCTATACACCATCACAACAGAATCAGAGGTTTATGTAAAAGTTGTTAATGTAAATAAGAATGATATATTATTGAAGTATTTGATGAAGATTCGTTCAAGTCTTAGATGTTATCTACAATAGCATGCCAAAGTTAGGATATCAATGAAAACTAAGGAATACTTGATAGTTGTAGGGAACTAATCAGTGGTAAACACTGATAACTCTGATAGTGATAGAACCTAGGATTTTAATATTTGATGACTACTGAATAATTATTTCATGGACAAGACTGTTAGAATTCAGCTATTTCAGGAGTAGGAAATTGATCACCGGCAGTATTGAATATATATATAGTTGACTGAAGTTAAAAACTATGAACTGATGATTTGTAATGGATTAATTTAAAGATTGAACATACTGTAAAACCTGAAAGTTTTAGATTCCATCCACATTAGGATTATAGTTGTGAGCTACTAATAAACTTCATACAGTTCTCTAGTGATTCTTGGTTTTCATCGAAAACGTAATTGATTACCGTTTGTGATGAATACCATATAAAAATAATGTGTGTATAATTGTTTTCTTTTGTTCATTTCGTAGAAAATTTCAGAAGCAATAAGTGTTGGTTAATATTTCTAAGGGATGTTATTTCAACTCAATGCTTAAAAGTCCTGGTAGCGTATTTATCTCATGCTTACGTTAGCATAGTGACTTAAGTGTTCAGCATTAGCTCCTGAAACCCATCACCTTTTTCAAGAACATTTAGCTAAAGACAGATCAGTTTCTTCATGACATGCTCAATTGTTTGAAATTTTATTATAAGTTTAATTTAAGTAAAATAGTTGTGATTATTTATATAAAATAAATTGAATGTAGTTAGGAGTGAAATGTAGGACACACGTTGCGTTCTATTTGAAACTTGTCAGCTAGGTCCATCTGAGTTCCAGAGTAGATATTTACTCCTATATTCGAACCCAGCACCATTCATTTCAAATAATAATGTATTATCTATTTAGCTACTAAGTTTGGAAGGTCAACGATTTGTGCAACGAGTATAAACATCAGTTTAATCTATAATGGTTTGATCTATCCATTTGTTGATATTCTGATTGAATTTTGATCAAATTCCAAACAAGATTGATCAAAAATCAATCAAAATATCAACAACGGGATGATCCAAAACACTATAATTTAAGTTATGATGATTGTAGTGTAGCAGCAGCCTCAACATCAGTAGGTCTCAATATAAACAAAGGGAAAAGCAAGATTCTCCGACACAACACAGCATGCATCAATCAAATCACACTTGGCGGAGAAGCTTTGGAGGATGTCGAAACCTCTGCATATCTGGGCAGCATCATTAATGAACAAGGTGTATCAGATGCAGATTTGAAGACGCAGATCGACAAAGCAAGAGCAGCATATTTACAACTGAAGAACATCTGGAACTCAAAACAATTGTCAAACAACACCAAAACCAGAATTTTCAGTACGAGTGTCAATATAGTTCTACCGTATGGGACGGAGACGTGGAAAACTATGAAGGCCACCATCCAGAAGACATAGGTGTTTATTAACAGTTGTCTACGCAAGATACTTCGGATCTGTTGGCCAGACACTATCAGCAACATTATACTGTGTGAGAGAACAAACCAGATTTCAGCGGAGGAAGAAATCAGGAAGAAGCGCTGGAAGTGGATAAGACACACATTGAAGAAATCACCCAACTGAGTCACTAAGCAAACCCTCACATGGAATCCTGGAGGCTAAAGGAGAAGCGGAAGACCAAAGAACACATTACGCTGAGAAATGGAGACAGACATGAGAATAATGAGCAAAAGTTGGATAGAAGTAGAAAGGAAGGACGAGGACAGAGTGGGTTGGAGAATGCTGGTCGTTTGCCTATGCTCCATTGGGAGTAACAGGCCCAAGTTAGTAAGTATGATGATTGCATAAATCGGTTTAGAAAAAATCGCATTGTGAACGTCTAATAATTATTAATAATCACTTTGATGCTTAATAATAATCACCATCATGTTACCTAATGCTCAGCAATGTTTGAATTCTAGTTTCTTGTTTGTCATCATTAATCTAAATGAATCTATACGCTTGATGTTGAGTTTAAGTAGTTGAAAAAGATTCTCTGAAAACATTTGATCTATGCCTCGTGATAGTTAACACTCATTGACAACCCACATCTATAAAGTTTATACAGCTGGTCATTTCAGTAGGATTGAAGTTAATCCTGTCAAAGTTTTACAATATCATCATCTAACATAAAGAACCTAATACCTCTTAAATCTATAACTCTGTATAGAATTAAACATGAAATTTCTAGATCTTCCATTGAATACGATACATTAAGATCACCCATGGACAGTCAAATTGAGCCATACATTAAGAAAAACAAACAAACAAATATTTGGATTATTACCAATAATTTAATGAAAATGACTGTACAATGTAACCTATAAAGTTAATGTGTATTCTTTCTTTCTCTTATTCTAGAATAGACAACAATAGAAGATAATTATGAAATAGATATATATGTGTTGATTTGGAAATTTCTATACTTCTATAAAGTTTTAATCATCCATTCTTTACAACTTTCATAAAATCAAAACAAAAACAACAAAAAAAAGAGAGAAAAGAGAAGTAAAGAAAAGATCCAATTCGTTGAATGAAATGAAATGAAAAAAAATTAGGAGTTACAAAAAAAAATGAAAACAAAATTAAACAACATTTCATGTATACAACATAATGATGTTGATCGGAATGGTGGTGGTCATGGTGATGATGGTGATGATCAAATGTTCAGATCCATTTTTTATACCAAATAAAAGAGAAAGATGGAGGGAAAGGTGGGAGAAATAAACTGAGAATTTTATTGTATCATTATGATATAATTGTTATTTATTATTGCTATTAAATTGTTTCTATTTTAAATTAAGCTATGTTAATGAACTAAGTAAATTCTCTACTGAATATGGTAATAATTTTTCATCATTATTACTATGGATATTGTTTGGACTAGATAATGAATAATTTTTAGGATTTATTGTATCACAGTCATGGTAATCATTATTATTATTATCATTGTCAGTACCATTATTATTGTTACCATTATTATTATTATTAGTAGTAATAGTAATGTTGTTATTAGTAGTATTGGTTGTTGTAGATAAATTTAAACCATTAAAATGATGAAATGAATCCATTAGATCAAATGAATTTGAATAATTATGTAATTGAATTGATTTAGGACTTGATAGAATATTTGGTAAAGGTGAAAGAGATGACGACGATGATGAATTCAATGTTATTTTATTATCATAATGTAATTGAGATGATTGTTTTCTATTGTCTGCATTATCTAATGTATAATTTTTTTTATATAAATCTATTGTACCATGTTGTGTTTCAATATGACGTCTTAGATCAACTTTACGTTGAAATGCACGTAAACAATGAAAACAAGAGAATGGTTTAAAACCAGTATGTTTACGTGAATGTGTAATTAAATTAGATGATTGACTAAATGCTTTACCACATTGTAAACAAATATAAGGTTTTTCACCTAAATTGAAAACCGAAAAAAATACCAAAAAAAATTAAATAAATTTTTTTAAAATATTCACTTAGTATTATTATCAGAAGGGGTTTTGTGGAGATTTAGTATTTTCATAGTTACAAGCGTAAGTCAATTGAAGTTAGACTACCAAGGGAAACTTGGAAGCACTGGACTCCTCAGCAGTGCTCATCCACGACCTCGCCTCGCACCAGAGCACTTAACCTCTAGACCACTGAGCCGGCATCCAATGGTGTTAATGTCTAACTCCAACCAATCCACAAAAGGACGAAACGGCCGTCCAGTGCTTCCAGGTTTTTTTTTTGGTGGTCTAGTTTCACTTAGTATTGTTTGTTTGAATCTTCCCATTGATGTTTAGAACTGTAAATGGTCAATCTCTTATCACCATATGTGCATACTGTGCGTATTGCCTCGATATAACCTTAGTTCTCAAGCATTATAAGCAAAGATGGATAGTGGTTAGTAGTGGAATCCAGGATGTGCGTGAATAACGCGATGGCGTTTGAAGCGAAAGGTACTGGGTTCGAGTCCCAGAGTGAACATCAACTGCGGGCACATCCATCTAACGAGTCCCAAAATAAGACGAAACGTGCGTCCTTGATTCCACTGCTAGCCATTATCCATCTTTGCTTATAAACCATAAAAGACTTTAGATCATCTTTCCATACAACTTTGAAAGTGTTTTAAGTGAAGTTTAAGACAGTTACTATTATAAGGTGATCAAATTTGTAGTCATCAGATTAAGATTTTGTTGTTTAAATAATAAAGTATTCACTTAAAATTTGGGTATTTCTGTTTGTTTTAACGACTGATTTTCAGTATTTGTTTAGTATCCTTATTTTTTCGTTCCTGATGAACAAACTTCTAACTTAAAATTTGTTAGTATAGAGGACTTGTTAAGATAATGGAATTTTTATAGTTTAAATGATGGACTGATTTTAGCTAGACCAATATTGGAAATGTGGAAACACTGAATGGCCATTTCATACTATTAAGGGACTTCTTAACTAAGACCATTTTGTGTTTTAAGCTGTGAAAGTAATACAAACTCCACAATTCGTCTATACTAATAATAATCATGTGCTCACTAGTGACTATATTCAAGATGTCTCCATGAGTTTTAGTGAGGAATGGAGTCCAATCTATGTCCAGTGTATGACAGTTTTGCATTACATGAATATGATGAAGGATTGCTCAATATCATGAAATGATTGAAGTTAGATAATAATACCGTTAGATGCCAGCCCAGTGGTGTGTGGGTGAAACATTCGCAAACGAGACAGGTGTTCAGTATGTCTCATGGTTGGGGGTTGTAGATGAACACCAATGAAGAGTTCCACCACCCAATGCTGTCACGTTTTCAATGGTTATCTAGCTAGGATTAGCTCGTAAATTATGATGTGAAAGGATTTCTTGTAATTAAACCTGAAATTTTTTTAAAGCATTTATTATTTCAATGAATACAATTTAATGTGGACATCTTTATTTAGTCATTGTTTGATTAGAATTAGTTCAAATGAAATTTAACATGAAGGCAATTCAGTGTACATCATTGATTCTATATATTGCGGTACGAGTAATATAATTATATATGAAGGGTATTTTGTAAGTACACAGTATCAAAATATTATTTACTTACCAGTATGTGTATAAGTATGCTTTTTCATATCAGATTTTTGATGAAAACGTTTACCACAATACTGGCATGGATATGGACGTGTATCACTATGTATTAATAAATGTGTACTTAATGTAGATGAACGTTTAAATGTTTTACCACATTGTGAACATTGAAATTGTCTATCTTGACAATGTACACTTTCATGTTGATATAAACTTGTAGCGTGACCAAATGTTTTCTGACATAACTGACATTCAAATGGACGTTTACCATTATTATGTGCTCTGTTTGATCAAATGAAAGTAAGAAAAGAAGTAGATGATGATTACAAGAAGAAAGAATCGTTGTTAAAGTCAATAAATAAAATTAAAAGAATAACCACTCGTATCAGTTATGCTAAATGTCTTACTTATAACTTCCACTGAAGTAGTCTTATGCCTAAAAAACTGAGGTTTGGTCAAACTGAGCATAGTTCTAAAAAATGAATTTAACACTTATTATTATTAAACTTTTGTTTTATTGTTATTTTACCCTTCAAATAATCTAAAAGTTTTGTTGGCTACAGGCTGATCACAGAATGATTTTCATTAAGGTACCATTGTAAACCAGAGAGCACTGGATGGCTGCTTCGTCTTAGTCTGAGATTCCTGAACAGTACTCACCAATTATCCACCACGGATCAAACCCAGAACATTCAGTTTTCATGGTGACCACCTAACCATTGAAAATACTGAAGTGACATCCAACGGCATAATTCCTGCTTCAAATAAATTGTTATATAATGCAACGATTATTTAATCCTATCGGTGAAAATGATTCAACTCTCAACAAATCGGTACTCCATAGGTTACACTTTTGAAACAGAACTTCAGGAAAAGTTTCGTTAAGAATCAGTGAATTTGTTTGTTGTATTCTTCACAGACTGATTTACAAATTAAGAAAGTCCCCACAAAACTCTTTTAACTTAATTTAAAAGTTCTGTTACTTCTAGTTTTTGTCATGACGAACTGATTAGTTATTTAACAAGAATTTAAACGGAAATCCCATATTTTACTATCTTTTACAAATCACTCGATTTTTTCTAGAATTGGATAATGTAATTCTTATTAAATGACTTTAATTTTTATGAATGTTTTGAATAATGCAGTCACTGAATACCAAATGTTAGATATACCAGTTTAGTAATATACTTTCAAATACGATACAACTTCTTTGAGAGTTTTCGAATGATACAATTCTGCTGAGTGTATATTCTATGGGACTGTAAACATGTACAAAATCCTTTGAATACAAAGATTTGAGATGCCTTATGGACCAGTTTAGCCATATTTATTGTTCATCAAATATCATTACCTGTTGGTAAAACCTACTTCAGTTTATGCAATTGAATATTATGATTTAAACTGGCTTATAAGAAACTTTGAACTCAAATCTAAGTATATAAACCCTATACTTGATAATTAATTGAACTATTTCATAAGCGTTAGCTGGTTAGAATTAGTCTTCAGGAAATTTAATTGGGTCATTTTTTATACTAGTTGATACTGATCAGTAAGCTGTATCTGTTATCATCAAGGAGTTAATAACTGCCAAACTTGAATCCACATCATTCAACTTCAAGGTTTAAGACATTACTAATAAATTATTTGGGGAGTAATTGATATTCTTCTGGACTGAGATATTTACAGTTGATTGTGTTTTTCTACTCCTTTCGAGCTGATGAGTCACTCTTACAATATGGTTACTAGTTTGAATGATCTAAATATACTAGGGAAAGATTTAAACATCAATTCTTAAAAATCTTATCAATGACTAACCTTCTAACATGTACTTCTAAACCATGTGCAGTAACAAAATATTTGTTACATAAATTACATTTAAAAATATTCATTGGAATATTTTCAGGATTCTGTTTAGGATCTAATATAATTTCTTCATCGTCAACAATAACATCATCATCATCATCATTGTTGTCATCATCCTCATCATCATCATCGACATCATCACCATCATCATTATCATAACAGTTAGTTACATCAACTTTTATTTGATTATTTCCATTCATTATTTCACCATCATTAGGAATATCTTCCTCTTTGTTGGAATATTTTCTTCTCTTGTTATTATTAGGATCATTATGAGGTTCAGTAACTTGTAAATTTACATTATTTTTCATAGATGGTGATAATTTATTCAATTTTATTGATTGATTTTTTAATTTTAATTGATTTATTCCAATTTGTGGATCAGATCCATTATGTTCATGATTTCTATTCATTTGATAAGTATTATCACTACTGACAATGGTATTAGTAGTAGTAGTACTACTACTACTAGTAGTATTAGTATTAGCGATAGTAGTAGTATGATTTTGATTATGTAATGATGTTACATTTCCATTGTATATTGTTGTATAAATATGATTTAATAAAGAAATATTTACAGGTAAATTATGATTCATTTGTAATTGTTTAATAGTTTGATAAAATAATGAACTTAAAGTTTGTAATTCATTTGAAATGAAATTCAATGGTAACATTTTTGATGGTGTTAATGATTGTGTCATTTGTAATGGTGTTATATCTTGTGTAGTCATGGTAAATGAAGGTGTTGTTGTTGTTGTCGTCGTCGTTGAAGTTGTAGATCCTGATGATAATATGGGTGTATTGATCATTTGAAGCCAGTATTGATGAAATTGTGATGTTAACTGTGTTTGTGAAAGAATTTGATTGAAATTATTATTTTGTAAATTAGTTGAATTGATTAGATGATCTGAGATCATTTCAGTAGTATTGTTGTTAAGTGGAAATATAGGATATGGTTGTTGTTGTTTCATATAAGGATTTGATAATAGTGAATTATACGTTGAGTTAAATACATGATTATCATTATTATCCGATGGTGATAATGAATTCGATAGACTCAAGCTTTTATAATCAAAATGATTTTTTAAATGAATATCCGAAGGAATCTTACAATTTGATACAGAACTATTTATATTTCTATAAAGGTTATTATGAATTGTTGAAAATTCAATAGTATTTTTATTATTCTCTTTTTTAAGATAAGTTTGTTTTAATTTATGTTTATTGTAACGCATAGAATTTGAATTTAAACGTGATTGTTTACGTATTCGTAAATCTTTTGGTGCTAAAATCAAAAGTTTTTAAAAAAAAATAAGGTATATGGGATAGAATAATCATTGTAATATAATGGTTGAATTCATGAGTCAATTAAAGTTAGATCATCATGGTAAACCTGGAAGCATTGAATGACAGTTTTGTTCTAGTATAGGACTTCTCAGCAGTGAGCATCCACGATACTGCAAGCACGATTCAAATAGAGGACCTATAGGTTTCACGTACAAACATTTAACCTCTAGACCATGATGGTCTAGCATTAATTGACTCATAAATTCGACCACTAAATTACTAAAATTTTCACAAAAACCCCTTTTGATAATGTAATATAGTTACCAAGGTGATTTACATAATTTTGAGATACTTATTACTAAGAGTTAAATTATGAAAAAAGAAACTATATAATTGGATTTTCGACTGTTTTTTTTTAAATTTTGATAAGTGAAGTAGTAATTTATGAAATTAACAAAGTCAAGAATACAACAGTAATTTTTTTGTCATGGAGTCATATTATTTAGGAAATTATTGATATTGTATGTTATGGGGAATATACATTGCTATGTGGTTTCAATCTCTAAGTCAAGTTAATCTCTACAAATGAACTAACTTAATGAACAAAATACAATGTTGAATATGAACAACCAGTAAATTACAAACACTTACTGACAACTTCATATCAGTTGATCATGTTGATGGCTATCCGAACTTATTAGTTCACTGGATGTTTAAAATTTTAAAAAATGTCTTGAATTAAGGTCTTATTATGGATATCAGTGTTGGAATGCAGGTAAATTCAGCTAAAGAGCATTAAACCAGATAAGACGTAAGTTATAAATTTTACCGCTTTAGTCACGGACTAAATAAGCCAACGTACGTTTTTATTTTTCAATCATTCACAGAGTTTTTTTTTCATTCGTAAGCTTAAGTAAAACCATTTTTATATAATTTAAACTTCATTCAGATTATCACCTTACTATTTATAATCATATTAAGCTTTTTTTCATTAATCGACTTAATGTAAAGGCCTTAATTCGAGTTCTTCTTATACAAATAAATTGTCACAGTGATAATCACAATAATTTCAAATATCTTTTTAAAAAGCGTTTACCATTTTAGAAGATTTGTTCACATCTTTAATAGCCATTTTAAAGGAAAGAAAGTATTGTTGATTGAGATCATGAATCAATCAATCTTAGACCACCATTGGAAACCTAGAAGCACTGAACGGCAATTCCATCCTAGTATGAAACTCCTCAGTAATTCGCACCTACAATCTCATACATGGGATTTTAATCCAGAACCTTCAGTCTTGGTCGTAAACTTTTAACTTCTAGACCATCAGTCCGGCAAGTGACGGTAATAATATCTGACTTAACTGAATCCACAATATTGCGCGACCATCTTGTGTTCACTAGTGACTAGCTTCAATAAGAAATTCTCAGAGTTCTAGTGAGAAACCATGACCAGTGGATCTAATCCATGTTAGATATGGAGACAGTTACCGTAGACAATGGAATATGGTCATGTAATTTCGTGGATTGATTAAAGTTAAACCGACAAGTTATTAATCTATACAATAAATTCAAAAATAAATTAACTTACAATTTATATCATTTGAATGAGATGATAGTTTTCTTTCACCATCTATCTGTTTATCATTCATTATTTGATCATGATTTATAAATTTAGAAGGAGTCATATTAGATACAGATTGATTCATTGGAAGATTCTTAAAATTATTCTTTCTATAACTGTTACTTTTCAATAGTTTATTCGATATTATTGTATCAAATTTCGTATATTGTTCTAGTTTATTATTATTATTATCATATTGATAATTGACAACATTATTGCTTTGATAAGAGTTCTTACTTGTTCTAAAAGAATTTGATGGATATAATGAATATGGATCTAATGTATTACTACTACTACTATTATTATTGTTAGTAGTAGTATTATTAGTATTTGTATTATAATTATGATATTGTTTCATTGTTTTCATATCAAATTGATATGTTAATTCTGGCCAAGTTGTCATAGAATTATATGCCATTAAATGATTTGAATTCATGTGTTTCAAAGATAATGTTGTTGCTAATTCACTTTAATTTCTACAAAAATGATTACAATAAATGACAAAATTACTTTTGATTAAAAACGAACACAATAAACGGAACTAAAAGTTCTATACTCAATCTCACATAATGTATATTGTTGAAGAGTCTCATATGAAGAGGAATCGTAGTTTTTAATGATTGTTCATTCAAGATCAACCTTTATCTATCGTTATATAATTTCATATCAAAAAAATGATGACAGTTATTTTAAAATATTTATTATATGGTTGAGATCATGAGTCATTTGAAGCTAGACCACCACGGAAATCCTGGAAGCAATGGACGGCCGTTTCGTCTTATTGTAGGACTCCTCCACGATCCCGCCTCGCGAGATTCGAACCCAGGACCTATCAGTCTCGCGCGCGAGTGCTTAACCACTAGACCACTGAGCTGGCATCCAACAGTGTTAATGTCTAACTTCAACTGATCCACGAAATTGACCGTCACATCCACCAATATCTTCAGTGAGTTGATATCTCCCAACAGACCTGGTTGTAATCTACTGGTTACTGCTTCTCACTAGAACTCCAGGAAATGCCTCATAGAGCCAATCACTAGTGAGTATATGATCTCTTGATATTTATTATAAGTTTTAAGATCGAAAATTTATGTTTTGACCATTGAATGTTTTAAAAAAATCTGGTTGTCACGTAATATAACAATCATTAGTAAGATGATAACAACAGGGTGTTGATATATTTAAACATATTAGAAACCTTCATATTTATCCAGTTGTTTTTATAGATTGACACATTTTCCGGGTACAAATTCAAGCTACACTTTAAGAATGAGGGTTATTCATACTATACAATAAGAACTAAACAACAAGAATCGAACTCGAACATACAACTTAGTGGATGAAATTAGAACATTCTAAACAGTGAACTGAATGTTCAATTTCATACACCATTGAGAATACTTATAGTATAGAACTAATAGATGTTTATTGTGTACAATGTTTCTAAAAAAATATGAATTCCCATAGAAAATTTCTTTGAACTAGAACTAATTCCTAAAAATCCTCTACTCGTATAACATAACAGACTTTACTTTTCACTTAGTATTGTTTGTTTGAATCTTCCCATTGATGTTTAAGACTTCAACTGGTCGGTCTCTAATTGGCATATGTGCATACTGTGCATATTGCCTCGATATAGCCTTAATTCACAAGCATTGTAAGCAAAGATAGATAACGCGATGGCGTTTGAAGCGAACAGTACTGGGATGCAGGTACATCCAGCTGACTAGTCCCAAAATAAAACGAAGCGCGCGTCCTGGATTCCTCTGCTAGCCACTATCCATCTTCGCTTACAAGACTTTACTTTTGTTTAAAAAAATTCTTATATCATTTTAAAAATACCCTACAACTAAATACTCACTATTAAATTATTTCATTGATATTTAACATTTCATTTCTTAACGATTCAATCCAAAGACTGTTTTAGCATTATTTCAATTTTGTACTATCAAAATTTTAAATAAGTTTTTCAATTTTAATTTGATTCTTTTTTTTCTTTTCAATAATCAATATTCTTATCGGAAAGGGGGGGGTTTGTGCAGTTTGTAGTAATTTAATAATTGAATTGATAAGTTGATTAGAGTTAGACCACTGAGGAGTCCTATACTAGGATGAAACAGTCGTCCAATGCTTCCAGGTTTTCCATGGTGTTCTAGATTTAATCGATTTATCAATTCAACTATCAAAATAAATATTATGTAAAGTAAGCAAACTAGTTTGATTTACTTCCTGAAAAGAAAACATCAATACCCTTTAAATGTTATCAACATCATAGTCATCATTACTATTATTATTTACCTGTTGTTGTTGTTTGTTGATCATAATTAAATTAACCCTAATAAACTTAAAATAGAATTTTAAAATATTTAAATGTCAACACAAGTAAGTTTTATGTTATGTTACCTGTAAGGATAAACAAAGTCAATGACAACAAACAATAGTTAATTCCTAAGAGAATCTAATAATTCATATTCTATTAAAGTTTAAAGGTGATGTCCTAAGTATTAGTAACTTGTGAATATTTAACAAAGTTTCATAGTTAAATTAAATAAAAAGTCCAGTGGAGATTCGTAATAATCAATTATGAGGTTGGTTGTCTAATTATCGTCTGCTAGTGTTACTAGGTGACTTATTATATGAGTTTAAATGAAGTGAATTTAAACTTTAAACTAAGCCAATATTCAATAAAATATAACTCCTCAAAATAATCTACAATAAAGGTAAATTACAAACAACACCAGGTTACAATCACTGACTAAACCTAAAATCCCACTTTATCTTTAGCTTTAGGTAAAAAAAAACATCAGAATTCGATTACATATATTAATCAAAACATGTAAATGACTACAAACCATAAACAATTCAAATTTTGTTATTTAAAAGTAAGATCAATTAAGTTTTCAGATGGTAATTGGAGATAGTCTACAGAAAACCCTGGACCTAGGTTTCATGCTGTTTGGCACTCGTCAGTAAGGTGTACCTATAATTTTGAGGGGACTGATGATCCTTAATGGATTCGATCTCGTGCCATCCAGCTTTACAGTCAGAGAAAGTTGTCACTAGGCTATCCGGGCAGCGACCAGCCTCCTGTAGGAATAGATTGATCACTGAGTTGTGATCAGTGTCATATTTATCAAGTTCCTCTTAGTACAGATAGAATCTGATCGACCAGTTAAACTGTGCTAAAACATATGTGATAATTCTCATTATTTATTCAAAACATATAAAGTAAATTGGACTGAATTATAATAAAATGATTTTATTTATTTGAGATATAGTTATAGTGATAGATGTTTCCAAACCTATACTAGTATTATCACTTGGCTATATTACAGATTCACAGTATTCAAAGTTAAAGAATACATTCACTATTGGACATACATAGTGTAATGAGTACTTACAGCTACTTGTTATTTCATCCTCAAGTAAATAATAAACAATATAAGATATTTGAAAATCACAAATGTCATTCCGAAGTAAATAGAATTAAATGATTCATTATATGAAACACAATGTAATAACCCAATTTGAACCTAGCAGATGGTTGAATCTCTTATCTTATACAGTAGAATAAATGAATCAACATTCTGAAGATTGTCATTATTATTATTAATGGTTTTATTCAACATTATATTTTCGGTACAATATAGAATTCTTAGCACAAAGTATTTCAACAAGTTGCCTTTTCTTATTTATTGGTCGATCCTGACGATAAATATTGAATGATCGCCAATTCCATGTTATCAGTTTCGGAATAGATATCTGAATAATGTTTAATCTTTTAAATCCATATTGCCAGCCACCATGATGTCTATGATAGCAATTTTTTGTAACTTGTACAACGACAGGTTGTAAACTTTTCCTGGACTCGCCTGAATATGTTATGCGAATAATGGACATAATAATGTATTCAAACAAACAAAATTAGGTAACCTGTTAAAATATCTAGATTGCAGGAACAGGTAGTGCAGATAGCTAAGTTTACTGCTGGACTAGCGATCATTCGTCTGTTATCCTGCTTTTATTACAACTTAGTTATGGTGCGTACGCGAAGTTAAAAGCCCATCAGGCAAGCAAGAGTATTCTAAGAAGTCAGTGCTTCCAGGTTTTCGATGGTGGTCTAGCTTCAATTGACTCACGCTTTCAACAACAGAAATGGTTAAGTAAATGATAAGTTGTGTAATTTCTTGACTTACTTACATAACATTCCGTTTATAAAGGGTGTTATAGACAATAATAAGCGAATTCATATTTGAATTAGTACAAATTGAAAATTGATATTTTTTCATTCATCTAACTGTATAACACTGTTACTTCATCTTTTGTATGATTGAACTCAATCATTTTACACATATAAATGTGTCCTACAACCAAATTCAGTTAATCTCTACATATTTATCATTCTGTTGAATATAATCTGTTTATTGTGTGACGCTGAATAATTAAGATTTTATTATTAAACACTTAAAAAGTAAACTAAATACTTAGGTTAGGAGAGTTATATGATAAAAGATAGAAACTTGCTTTGTTATATTAAATAAACTATCAGGATAAGAAAAGTTAAGAAACTACAAAAAATTACGTCATACTTCAATCGATTATACTATGAATGATACTAATTCCAATGATACTATTATTTACATTTAATGTAGAATTATTTCATAATTATTCAACTAAATCCTTTATTATTAGAAGTAGGTTTTGTGGAGATTTTGATAATTTAATCGTTCAATCCATGAGTTAATTAAACCTAGACTAACATAGAAAACCTGGAAGTATTGGACGGCTGTTTCGTCCTAGTATGGGACTGCTTAATAGTATGCATCCACGATAGATCCTGGGTTCGAATCCCGCTTCCAGGATCGTGGATGTACACTGTTGAGGAGTCATATATTGGAACCAAACGGCTGCTCAATGTTTCCAGGTTTTTCATCGTGATCTAGCTTTAATTAACTTATGAATTCAACTATTAAATTCTTTATTTTTATCTATGTATCACTTCAATATTCATTAAAAGTAAACAATTGAGAATAAGATAACACTAAAACACAGTAAACATTATAACAATCTAAGTATAAAATATAATTTTTTTTTTAAAAACAACCCAGATATAATCATTGAATTAAAGGGGTTTTTAAAAGCTTTACTTACAAGAAATGTTATATCATATAAATTTTTTTTTTATAATCCTTGTAGTAGTGGTTAGCAGTCCAAAATAAAAGAAGTAATTTGAAATAATCCGACTACTGAATTTCCAACTTCAATATCCTTTTATTGTCGTCTGCTTTCCTTTTATTAACTATAGTTGTGGTCACAAAAAGTATAAATATAACTATGAAAGACAATTTGATGAATATGAGTTTATGGTGTGAGATCTTATTTTAATAACAAAAAAATTTGGAAGGGAGTTGTAAAATCTATACATACATATATTTACATGTATATATATATATAAACATTGTACCAAAGGGAGTAGGAAGTTAATAAAAAAAAATTGGCTAGAATCTGCAAATAAGAAAAATCTGTTCTCATTTTTCTTTCTTTGAGTTTACTTTTGTTGATGAGGAGGGGGGGGAGACATTACTGAATGTGTTGTTGTTCATCTACACATTTTGCTTAAAATAATTGTTCCCTCAATATCTTTCTATGTTTGTCTATGCATAGAAGCACAATAAGAGTTGTAGTAGTATTAGTATTAAAAATAAAGATTGAAATTAACTTATGGAATTTGTTAACTAGTAGAAGAAATCCTTGACTCAATCCTTGACTTTGTTTCTCTCCCTCTCATATTGTTTCAATAAACATGTGTGTGTGCGTGCGTGTGTGGTTACTTTAAATATATTTCGCTTCATATACACACATATGCACATTAGTAACTTTTCATTCATTTACTCAATCTCATCCTTTCTTTTTCTCTCCATCTGTTTAACTTCAGATGTTGAATGTGTTCTCATTGATTCATTCTCTTTTCTCAATTATTTTACAATCTTACCAATCCAATATCCAATTCATGATAAAAATCCCCCTTTAAACATTGAAATCTTTTCATCAGTATTCAAAATCAAGGTGATATATATTGTGTGATTAACTTGTAGGCACATACATATAGAATTCTCATATGTATATAGACACAAACATGTAAATACTTGATTCTATGCAAATTACGCTTAAAAGTAAACACATTCCAATTGTTATTTAACATTCTATTTCATTTAATATAAATATAATCATTACTTTATATAAGAACTTTAGTTTAAATTAGAGCGAATAGTTTCACAGTATTTGAGCGCCGAGTTTATGTAAGACATTAAATAGGAAGAATATACTTGTACAATCTCAGCGAATGAATTTGTAGTAAATCCAACGTTTCACCTGGCAATCTGGTCCAAGCTTTTTCAAGGAATTAACTGTACTGAAGCAGTTACATACATGAATAGTTTAATATGAAACTTCATTCCGAACTGTTTGAGTTGTTTGAATATTCTGATATCATATGTGTATAGATAATTCCTTGAAAAAGCTTGGACCAAATTGCCAGGCGAAACGTTGGATTTACTACAAATTCATTCGTTGAGATTTTACAAATATATTATTCCTATTTAATGTATAATCATTACTATTTACTTGGAAGAGTAGAATTTGTATTTAAGTAGTAGAGATAGTAACAATAGTAATAGAGTTTCAAGGGTGATATCTATTCATTTCAAATAAATATATGTCTGATATAATTATCACTCATTTAAATGTTGCTAACCAAACAAAATACTTAATAAGTAATTGATTAATTTTTTATTAATCAGAAAATATGATAATAAACTGAAATCTATATTAATAATGAATGATGACATTACAGTATGTATGTATATATACTACTAATTAACTGATTGGTTAAATTATTTATAACACAAGTTTCTATGGTTAATTCATTAATGAGCAAGATAGTTGGTAACTTGATTATAATTGTCATTTAATAATAATAAGAAGAAGAAGCAGAAAAAAGAAAGAAATTTTCTATTATTTATTATTGAATACTAGGAGATATAAGTAGTAGTTTTCGCCTGAAAACTATAGACAACATTTAATGATAAAAGATTATGACAGTATTGAAGCAGTTAGATACATGAATAGTTTAATATGAAACTTCATTCCGAACTGTTTGAGTTGTTTGAATATTCTGATATCATATGTGTATAGTTTCCTTTCATATATACACATATACTCTTTCGCTATGTCATTAGTATAGCATAGAAATATCTGATTACGTATGGAATTATATTTCATAGGTTTATCTATAGGGAATAATAATAATAATAGTAAGCATCATTATGATACTTATAGTAATGAGAGGTAGAAAAACAAATGTGATTTCATAGTGAAATTGAATACATCACAAATTTGATATCACTAAGTCGCTTTTAGTTTTAATATAAAATGACATTTCTACCGATTAACCCATAAATATGTGAATAAAAAAGACAGATAAGATAGAGGTAAACTTAGATTAAGCGCTCACGCGCGAGAAATGATTGGTCCTGGATTCGAATCTCGTGAGGTGGGATTGTGGATGCATATTGCTGAGGAGTCTCACAATAGGACGAAACGGCTGTTCAGTGCTTCCAGGTTTTTCATGGTGGTCTAGCTTCAATTGACTCATGGTTAGAACTATAAAATATTATAAATTGATTAGTTAGTTGTAAGAATTGAAAGTTGAAAGACTTTTTTTACAAAGAATAATTATTATTAACATTTGACATAATGTAAATAACCAATTGAATAGTGATTTATAGGTTATCATTTCTTATAGTTTACTAAGTCTTAAGGCGTTAAAAACGTTTTATTTATTCACTTAATCTTTTCCATTTTTAAGTCCTGTTTCGAAAATTGAATGTGTGAAGGATTATGCTGGGGAATTCGAAGTTGAGAACGTTTTCTAATTTAAAACACTTCTTATCATAGTGAATTTCTTCAGAGGTGTATGCACAAAAAATTATCCTAGTAATTTACAATGATGTCATAATAATAAGATGATTAAATTCACTTAGTATTGTTTATTTGAATCTTTCCATTGATGTTTAGGACTGGGTTCGAGTCCCAGAGTGAACATCAACTGTGAGATGCAGGTACGTCCAGCTGACAAGTCCCAAATAGGACGAGACGCGCATCCTGGATTCCACTGCTAGCCACTATCCATCTTTGCTTACAGAAAGATGATTGATTGAAAATTACACTCAAAACCAAACTTGTTGAATCGTTTCACCAAACTAATGATTGTCTATGAAATTTCAAACGATTAAATAAAATCATCAAGTACACAGTTAACTAACTGACTAGAACTTCTAATATTTACTAAAACCAAGTAAACATTCATCAATAAATATGTGCACTAAAAACCGAATTCTCAACTACTAACTTAACATTTATGTGTACATTAATAAAGTAATTGAAGGAAAGTATTGCAAAAATCTGGAGAATAAAAAGAGAGCAATTATTTATCGTCTTTTTTCAGTTTATGTTGCACCTTTTAGTGGTTTACTTTTCTATCTACTCATTTTGATCAACTATTAAGAACAGGAATATTACGAGTTATTAAAATCTTATTTATATCACTAACCGACTCACATTAGACATCTGTAAAAAGGTTATGAGGCACTGACACATTATGTTTTGTCCTTGGAATCTAGGAACTACTATCTCGCACATGAACAACTAGAGTTTAGACTACCAAGACGGTATTAAATAATGTGTATGTCTTACTTTGGTCTATTCAGGGTATTACTGGACTACCTTTTATTGTCTTCCGTAGGTACTTACCTCACAACCTACTCGAGTGAGATTGACTGACCACAACTTCTCTAGGTAATTCCAGAATTACCTATTGAAATTAATCACTAGCGAGCAAATAATATTTACCAGTAAAGAGGAATTTAGAGAATAGTAAACTTTACTGATATCACGATTGACTTCGCATTTAGGTTACATATAAACACAACTAGGTTTCAACTCAGAAGTCTGGAGGTTGAGCGTTCATGTGCTAGATCGAAAGCCCCTGGTTCAATCCCTGGTTGCGGGCTCGCGGATATGCAAAAAAATTTCTGAACTTTTTCGAGATTGTTTAACAACGTATATCTGTAGCCTAGCTGGAAATTTTATCTCTAGAAAAATTGAAACCCTGATTACTGAATGATACATGAGACAGTTTACTTTTTGTCTATTAATTATAATGAGTGGTCTTAAATATTTTCTAAAAGGTGGTTGCATAACTAGGATTACAGAAAGCTTGGTTGAAAAGGACACATTCGAGGATCATATATAGATACTAACCAGTGTACTAAAGAGTGGCTATTCAGTTCATAAATCTCTTATTATTTTAATTCTGAGCACTTCCTTATAGAATTTTCACTTGTTAAAATGATATTAAACAATAGTATTGTACCCTTGATCTACTGACATTGGAAAGAACTGTCTAAATGATACGATCATAACTGTCTGTTTTAAACTAGAGCTGACAAATTCAAATAAAGATAAAACGCGTTTCTTAGCTTACACATCTAGCTTCAGTTCATCTATTTGAAATTTTATGTATGTGATATAACTAAAACAGAATTAAGCAAAGATGGAAAGTGGCTAGCAGTGGAATCCAGGACGCGCGTTTCGTTCTCTTTGTGACTCGTCAGCTGGGTGTACCTGCATCTCACTCTGGGAATCGAACCCAGTACACTCGCTTCAAACGCCATCGCGTTATCCACTCGGCCACTGAGTCCTGATAGCCACTTGCTTGTGCGATGGGGTGAAGTTTAAATTCACTTAGTATTGTTTGTATGCACATATGCCAATTTGGAGACTGACCAGTTGCAGTCCTAACACATCGATGGGAAGATTCAAACAAACATCCAGCTGATGAGTCCCAAATGGGACGAAACGCACGTCCTAGATTCCACTGCTGGCCACTATCCTTCATTGCTTATAAATCTTGCTACTTCAGGCAATATCGAGGCAGTCCGCACAGGATTCACATATGCCAATAAGAGACTGACCAATTTAAGTCCTAAATAATAATGGGAAGATACAAGTAAACAACACCAAGTGAATAATATGGTAATTATTAAAAATAATGTAATGAACAACTCAAGTTCTTTCGACAATTACTTTCAATTATAAACAGAATCTTTTAGAAAGGAACAATTTTTTAATGAAATAATTTGAAATGATTCGACTTATTGAGTTGATCAAAGAAATCCTTACATTATCTACTATAAAATTTGAAAATTTTTGACTGTATATTTGAAGAAGATAATGAGTCAATTGAAGCTAGACCACTATGGAAAACCTAGAACCATTGAACAGCCGTTTCGTCTTAATATGAGACTCCTCAACAGTGCACATCCACGATTAAATTACTAAAATCACCACAAAAACCGCATTTTACTTGTATTTAAAATTATTGAAATATTCTCTTCACAGTATTTGTTATCATTAATGAAAAGATCATTCAAAATGATCTACTTCTGAGCTTCCAACTCTAAATCACTAGTCAATTTAAGGAAGTTATATACATTATATAATATAGACGTTT